AAAACCAAAAAAATCAATGCTCCTCATAACAGTGATAGTTTTCAATACGACCAGATATATGAAGTGACTGAACACAGCCAGACACGTTAAAGCTCCAATGTTACAGGCAACAGACTGTGTAATAAACTCTGTCTGGCAGACACATGCAGTCTTGGGTGTTGTGTGACTGAAACATGTCTGTCTGGTGGCCAGACGTAGGGGATGTTTGAAACTGGGTGGCGTGCTGTCCGCACACACCGAAAGGAGAACTCACAGCCATGACGAGTGGCCACATTTGAAGAAGGGTTAAGAAGTCAAGTGTGCATCCACCTAATTTCCAGAAAACTGGGAAAAGGAACCACAGACTGTTTCCATTCATTACTGTTATGTGACTATTAGGGGTGCGGAGCCGCTGGCTCTCACTCTGCACTCTGACATCTCAGACTTGTCAAACACATCTCAAACTTTCTCTGCCTCTGCCACTGGAGCGCTGCAGAGTTTTGACCCAGAAGGAAGTGGAACTTCTACCTTCTGAAGGGTGCCAGAATTTAGCTCCTGAAACTCCAAACTGGGTTTACAGGTCAGTTAGAGCAAAAAAGGCTCTAGTGAACTAAAGCAGATCACCTCCACCACCTAGCTGCATCTACCGCAGCTGCTGGTGGATTAATGTCATCATGTTACTGCAGGACGAGGTCATTTACTTCATAAAGGACATTTTGCTGATCATATTTACGCAGCACTTTTACTTCACTGGGATTTGAATGCAAGACTTAAAACTGCATTAGCTAAGATTCAGAACAAATAAGATTTAGCACAAATTTGCATAAATCAAGTAAAAAATTGTCTAGAAGCATCTCCATCAGATGGAGCGCTCTAAAAGCATCCACAGGACTAAAATTTGACCAGATGTGTCTTTCTTCCAGCTAGATGCTAAGTACTGTAGCTGGCTAATGTGTACATGTCAGCATCATTAGCAAGCTAATGTTAGCTTTGATATTTTCTGTCTTTGTATTGAATTTTTCTGGTTGTAATTTGGAGTCAGTCCAACTGACTACAACGTTAATGTTTTGTTGTCCAATTAGTGCAAACCAGCACGTTTTCCTGGATCAGCAAACGAAGTGATTTTGCTAGTTTTTGCTTGGTCTTGGTCCAGTTTATGTCGGACATAACACTGCAGTTCATGTAGCATTTTAGTGAGAAGCTGTTTCACAAACAAAACTAGAAAAGTGAGTTTGTTCAACTATCAAAGCGTAACATGACATTTCTCCTGTGTCACATACAACTCACGGCTACGTTATAACATTATGTGTGTCACATATGTAACACTGAATGTGATGTGATAATGGCCAGAACACTAGCACTGTATCAGTGTTACTGGGGAAATCATTACTCTGTATAATTTGCTTGTGTTACTGCAGATACGTCTGCTACAAACAATGCTACACATACGTATGCATATCGCTAAAATGTAAACCTCTTAATTTGACATTGTGTCGCTGCAATGCCACTGAAAACCACAGGGCTGGAGCCAGGTATTACTGCTGTGCTACCTGACTGCCACAACTGTCTCCGGCTGTCGTCACCACGTATGACGTAGAAGGAAGAAGACGGGGCGGGGGGGTGAGGAGGAGCAGATACTGCTGGAGTTTGTTTTGATGCTCACTTTGCCCTTAAAGGTCAAAAATTAGAGGGAGAAGTTAGTTAATGCAGCTTTAATCAGAATGTAAAAGTACTCTGAAACTGTGGTACTTTTACTTAAGCAAATGATCCGAGTCTCTCATCACTGTTTATCAAAGTACTGCATGTATGTTACACTCAGATAAATAAAACAGCACATAAAAGGAAATCCAGCCGGCCCTGTGTGAAACCAGGGTAAAATGTTGTTTGGTATTACATTCCTGTTCTGCTTGTTGCATTCATGTGCCCCTTCTCATTAGCAGCCTCCTGCAGACTTGACTATTTTAGATCTCTGAGGGGGCGTCAGCAGTCATCGCTCCCTGTGGTCTCACCTAACACGAGGACAGAGATTCAGAGTGGTGACACCGAGACTAATAAATGCATTTGTTCTAACACTAAGTTATATCTGAAATGAAACAGTGTTACTGGACATGCAACCTGGATAGCTGCTGTTTAGGCACCTTTTACCTGAGATTTCTGCAGAGCCCTCATTCCCTGGACATAAACTGTTCAAGCTCCTCCCCTTTAGGTGGCGCTACAGGTCACTGGGCGCCAAGACAACCAGACACCAGGACGGTTTCTTCCCCCGTCCATCACTCTGATCAATACTGAACCCATGTTTACATGAATTTACAAGATACAGCAAAGACCACAGTGAAATCATCATTGTACTACCAAACAGCTCTTTTTGAACTTGTATATACGTATGTACACATATTTATCAATTGATGCTTTTTGTCGTCTTGTTTTTACTTGTTTTTTATTCAGTTTTTATTCTGAACTAGAGCTAAATTCCTTGTATTTTAATATATTTGGCGATAAAGTTTCTGATTGATTGATTGGTTGATTGGTTGAGAGAACCGCATGGTCCTGAAGGATAAGGGCCCTGTGAAGAGATGAAATGTCATTTTTGATTTTCTCTTTTATAAACTCAGGGCCACAGTCTGCCAAGGCCTCTCATGATCTATTTCTCTGAGATAAATGTTTGTACCTCAGTCTGACAGGGACTTAAATTAGGTGTAACAGCAGGTGTGAACCTCCTCAGGGCTGTTAGGACAGAGTCTGACTTGAAACAACAGAGAGAGGAGGGTAAACCAGCAGTGACCTCTCCGTCTTACCTACCTATTGCTGATGATACTGATGCTTGTGAATTAATTGCTTCCCAGTTAATGTCCCACCACAGAGACCTGAGTCTGTTGTAATCCTTCAGTTTGACCTAAAAGGGAACAGTCCAACTAAACCAGAGCGAACCAGACTCAGAGTGTAAACGCTGTCATTCACAAACATCAGATGTGTGGAGCGATGAGGAGGCTGTGACCTTCCTCACAATAACACAGAAAACTCACAGAAATGTCAGATTTCCATCATAGTGCAGCGGCAGAGGAAGTACTCGTCCATCACCGAAGTGCTGAAAATGTCACCTAAGTCAAAGTATGTAAACAGGATTAACGATGTAAACCCAGAACATCAGTCACACGGGACATTTTACTGCAGAATGGGTATTTCTACAAGATTACTTTAACTACATGAAGCTGAGATTAGTTGTGTACTGTTACTGCTGATTTTTGATTTTTGACATTTCCTACTGATACTATAACTACAGAAGCTGACAATACTTGTTTACTTTTACTGCTGATACTTCAACTACATGAAACTCAGTAAATACTTGTGTATTTTTAAGAAATGTGAAAGTCGACTTTTAATTGCAGTGGAGTATTTTTACATGGTTGTTGTAGTACTTCAGCTCAAATGAAGAACTTGAATACTGCATAAATAAATGAACTTGGCAGTATATCCTTTGTTTTACTACAAGCAGAAAGAATTTGCAGTAAAAGTTCCTGGATGGAAGTTGAAGCAGAGGTGATCTGTCCTCGCTGAAGTGAAATCCTTCACAGCGGCATCTCGAACGACTTCCTGTGACCATGCTATGAGGTGCAGAGCTTTCTGAAACCCCATAATCCCTTGTGAAATGAGGTTTCTATGGCAACCGAAAGGCCAGTGATGCCTAATTTCCCATGTCGCCCACACCTCCCCTCTGAGCACCGGTGTCTGTCTCTCATCGATTGTTTCGTAGAACACACGTTCTACTTAATTACCCACAGTTGTGAGTAATTAACACTTCTGCTAATTCGTCTACTTTTTACTTAGAGACGGACAGGGATGAAAAACTGCTTCCCTTCAGGGGATGTGGGAAGAAAATGGCCATCGAAATGAGGAAGGGGTTTCTGAGAGCTGCACATGTCTGAGGATGTTCAGCTCTGGTGGCTACACAGCAGGCTGCACATGCTCTCAAACAGCAGCAGTCATCACCCTTAACCCCTTAGTGTTCTGCTCCAGTATAGATTCTGAGAAGGTTTGAGTTGGGTTGCTGAGGAATCATTCAGCCTGCCTGAGCCTTCTCTAGCACTCAAAAATGAAAGCCTTCAATTAGAAGCAGATAACGGAAGGGGGCATGTTTTAGTACTAAATTATAGTTTACTTTGTTATAATTCAACACAAAAACATCCACTACATGGATTTCAGTCCAGATGTGCAGCTCTTAGCCAGAGGTGGTCAAACACACACACAGAGACTCACAATGAAACAGTTTGTCGCTGAGCATCGACAGCGTTTCACCTTTGAAGCCCTGCTGCTCAGACACTTCACCTGTCGAGTTCGTCACTGAGCATCGACAGTGTTTCACTTTTGAAGTCCTGCTGCTCAGACACTTCACCTGTCGATAACTCAACCCCGAGGCTCCATTATGAGGCTGGACTTTCGCCTTGTTTCTACTCAGACTCCCCTTATTCATGCCAGCCTTTGTCAACCAGTCCATCTGTCAGCCTGGGAGATTCTGTAACACACTGCTGTTTAGCCTGATAACAGGTGTTAAAATGTAAAGAATGCTTCTTCAGACCAGTAACTTGTACTCTGCATCTTCATGAAGATTGGTGCTAGTTAGTCATGGTAGACACAGTACTTGTGCCTACCAGGGAGAGGCCTTGTGAGAAATGCGGCTGTGTTCATGAATTCATATCAGTCTTGATGTTAAGAGCAGAAACTGTTTGCATGTGGCGCTCTCTGCTGGCAGAGGCTCAACAGTGATCCTCAACAATGACCTACAGCGTAACGTTAGCGAGTCCAGGTCAACCAGCTATCAATGTCCCCTTCTAATAAGAATAACACCAGAATTATACTTCGAGTTAAACACGGAATAGTAGTGCTCTTACTCCTCTGCCATGTCTCAGGTATGTGATGTTTTCAATCTTCTTGACAACCAGGGTAAAAACTGTACAACAAAAAAATAGAACTGATGATAGTCAAGGGTAGAAAAGTGTCCAAAGAGCCAAAGAACTAAATAAACATGTTCAACAAGTTTATTGGTTCAATAAAATGAGCAAGTGCACAGAGTGTAACAACGTAAAGTACGTGTCAACGTAAACTGCAGCTGCATGGAAATGTTTAGAAAGAAACAGTTGGGTCCCACACATCTGATTCCTCTGACAACATAACATGTAAAGCAAAGACTGATGAGGTTAGAAGGTACTGTAGATCAGGTACTGTGACAGAACCAGGCAAAGACCAATCACACAAGAGACTCATACAATAAGACCAGGAAGTAGCCAGAGCCAAAGAGTTTCTGGAGACAGAAGAAGAAAGTATAGCTTTGTGATTCTTCTTCACCTCGTTCTGAAGGAGACTTTCACAGAGAAGCTAACACTGTGCCAAACATCTCTATAGTAACAGAGCTAAGTTATAAGTTAATGGGGGAGCTCATGGGGCACCAGCTTGTAGTGGGAGCCACAGGACGGGCAGCGCTGGGCCTCGCCCTCGTGAAGCCAGAACCAAATCACAGCTGTGTTGTCTTCTTCACCTGCAGACAGGGAATATGACTGGGTGAGACACACAAAGACATCAGCAACTGTGTTTGTACATCAAAGAGTGAGTTTCCTTCTCCCTCAGAAATGATCAGCCAAGTTAAATGTCTTATCATTAACAACTGACTTGAGCTAAAATCTTCAGAAATGTGTCGTGTCCTAAACTGACCACATTCTCCATTTGTGCTGACCCAGGCTCTGCTGTGTGGTCTGCTTGTTGTCCACAGAAACTGAACTTAGGTTGTAAACCAAATGAAAGAAGCCAGATATTATTTAGGACTTTAAAACGAAAACTTACACACACATCCCACAATCCTCTTGTTTGTGACGGAGGGAACGAGGTGGGGATCGTCCTTGGTACCAGCATACTCCTTTGGCTTCAATATGCTGTAGGGATCCTGCAGGAGAGAGAAGAGTTGGGTCAGGTTTATACTCTGGATATTCCTGTGTAGAACAGGCCCAGCATTACATCTCACTAAATGTAAGTGGTCCCATCACTGTGACACCCTAATGCCCCAGCCTTTCCCCTGGATGAACTGTTGTTAGTAATAAAACGCATCAATCTGGAGGAAAGCCACTACACAAATACAGTTTAGACTGGCTGAAAGGAACAAGACACTACTCCCGATTGAAACCTGATAAATACTGATCCAGACACGTTATCGCACCTTCCCCTCTTTCATGGACTTCAGGACTTGCTTCTCCAGACCAGTGGCCTGCTCCTCGTCTGTCGGGATCCCTGGCACTACACAAATAGGACCAAGACACTACTCCAGATTGAAACCTGATAAATACTGATCCAGACACATTATCGCACCTTCCCCTCTTTCATGGACTTCAGGACTTGCTTCTCCAGACCAGTGGCCTGCTCCTCGTCTGTCGGGATCCCTGCAAACATGACGGATTAAAACATGTGTGAGAAAAGCAAACAAGTGAGAGACAGTGTTCATCAACCCTCCTTTAACATTAGCAATGAGAAGCTATTGTTAGCCCAATTCTGTAGAAGATTTTTATTAAGCTGATGCAATAAAAAATAACTGTCCATTAACATTTGGACAAATGCGCTTTTTTATGTTTGCTTGTTGTAAACGTTAGATTTACATCTTCCCACTTTAAGAATCATATAAACACGTAATTTGTCCCAACGTCTACAGCTGTATTTACTTTAAAATATCACTGCAGCAGTGGATGATACGGTACGTCATTAATCCTACTAGCAAATTATTACTGATCTTGTAAGAACTTTGTTTTGAAACAAACGGGTTTCAGAATAAGATACTGGATCATCAGCTAGCTGGTTAGCAATGAGCTACCTTTTAAAAATAACTACGGTCTAACTTTCTACTGTCTGACACCTCTGTACAGGATACTGTTGCTATTAGGAGCAAGTGTTTTTACTCAAGCGTGTTTCTGTTGAATAGTGTACAGTCCAGGAAATTGTACCGATATATCAGATACCAGTCAGCTAACTATAACTTACTGGCCGGATAGTTAGCCAACCTACTAGTACACTTTGTAATTAAGTTGCTGTGACCTCTCGTAGCTACTGGTACAGCACAGCTAATGCTAACTAGCTAGTTAGCTCATCGGGGCCAAACAGACTCTTTTAAAATCAGGTTTTCACAGGTCCGGTTTTATGTGCCAGTGGGACTTTCGCCCTCACCTCCAGTCGTCACACCGCGGGTCAGAGCAGGCACCGGGACAGCCCGGCAGGTTGTAGCGGCTCTAAAAGCCGAGCGGAGCAGTAACCTTGCAGCCATTTCTCCTGTTGGTCGCTCAGTAATGACGTCTGATAAAGCAGTCGCACGTTTTAAACGTGTCATTGCTTTATAGAAAATAATGTTTTATCTAGTTCGTTTCAGAACGAACCAAGGATGCATCGAAAGGTAATGTCCCTTCTTAGAAAACACCAAATATGTTATTCCTGAATGCCAGTATGGTAAATGGTGGCAAGACAAGTATCCAGAGAGCCAAAGAAGTCTAAGAACACGGGTTCACAAAGTTTATTGGTTCAACAGAAGGAGTAAGTAGACCGAGTGTAACATGAACAGTACTTTTGTCAGTGTAAACTGCAGCTGACTGGAAATATTTTGGGTTCCACATTACATCTGGTCCCTCTGTAAATGTAACGTAAAGACTGATGAGGTTAGATGCTAGATCAAGTACTGAGACACAAGCATGTCATAAACATGTCTATAATAACTGAGCTACATTCTGAGTCAATGGGGGAGCTCATGGGGCACCAGTTTGTAGTGGGAGCCACAGGACGGGCAACGCTGGGCCTCGCCCTCATGAAGCCAGAACCAAATCACAGCTGTGTTGTCTTCTTCACCTGCAGAGAATAACAGGGAGCAAAATTACAGAATCAGCTCAGGTGTAATGACTATGACTGTGTAATAACAATAATAAAGTCTATTCTACATTCAGTTTACTCTATCTGTGGGACACAGCATGCTGCAAAATGGTTTTAAAAGTTTTATTTATTCATGGTAGGTCCACTGAGAGGCTGCCTCTGTTTTGCAGAGATGCCCTGTTCACATTCACACCTGGAAGCTGCCCAGTACAACCACAGACTGACCTGTGGACACTGAGCAGCTCCACTGGAGCAGTTGGGGTTTTAACAAGGATGAGGCAAGTGCTGCTTTGTCACTTGCCCCACCCAGGTCCAGTGACTGAACCAGTGACCCTCTGGTCACAAGCTCGGTTCTCAAAGCTTCAGGTCACCACTGCCTATACATGGCATCAAGGTCAATCTGAGAGGCTCTGAAGGAATGAAAGAAAAAGAAGGAAGAAATGCATTTCTGCTGCACCAAATTATGTTTCTATTCTGTCTCATTCTCCCTGAAATAGTTTAATCTCTTCTGGACTCAAAAATGTTTTGATGTGAAAGAATCAGAAAAAATAAATAATATTTTTTGGTTTAACTGCACAAACCTTATAGGAAAACACAAGCAGACACTGTTTCATTAAGGGGTGTGACCCCAAAATATTTGGAACGGCCAATTTGAAGGAAATGGGGAACACAGTTTAACAGACCAAAGCTACTTTAAATCTGTTACACACCAACTTTGATGCTAAACACACTGGTGTAAAGAGTGAGATTATGTTTAGGACATTAAAAATAAGAACTTACAGACACACATCCCACAATCCTCTTGTTTGTGACGGAGGGAACGAGGTGGGGATCAGCCTTGGTACCAGCATACTCCTTTGGCTTCAACATGCTGTAGGGATCCTGAGGGAGAGAGAATCCATTCAGATTACAAAGCAGAAATCATTCACACAGAGATGTTACCTTAGCCAGGGACAGTAACAGAGGTATTGCACCTTTCCCTCCTTCGTGGCCTTCAAGATGACCTTCTCCAGTCCTGTGGCCTGCTCCTCATCAGTGGGAATCCCTGACGTCACACAAAATAAAGCTAGACGTAAACAAACATCACTATCACAAAGCAAATACAAACCTAGAAAACGTGCTGAATGAGGTATGGTGCTGTCACTTTGTCCCCATCAGAGGTGACAACTAGCTATGTGGCTGTTTAACTCAACCGACTTCCTCACATATTAACATCACTAAGATGGCGCTTGGCTGCTTCAGTCTATTGCTGTGCTGACAAGAGACAGAGCTTTAATACAAAAGAATAACAATTAATTCGCTCACAATACTCCTTTGTGTGTTCAAAGTGTGCTGAGTCGAACATTTTAGCCTGATTCTTTCATGTCTCACAAACTAGTTAGACGACGCACCACTTCTAATTAAATTACGCTTGGTCTGATATTCTGTGTTGACAATGACGTTACCAAAGGGACAGGAAGTCTTCCGTCCTAAGCAGCGTTAACTGTCCTTGCCACGAATAACCACCCGTCTAAATGATAACTCTGACAGACGTTATGTCTCGGGGACAGTCTCGCCCTCACCTCCAGTCGTCACACCGCGGGTCAGAGCAGGCACCGGGGCAGCCCGGCAGGTTGTAGCGGCTCTAAAAGCCGAGCGGAGCAGTAACCTCGCAGCCATTTCTTCTTCCTTGTTGTCACCGGGCTATGACGTCATAACCAGCTTCTTCTTTTTCGGGTAGCAGCTTACAGACCAACCAAGGTGTATGCTGCCACCTAGTGCCCCGGAGTGTGTAACACCACCCTTCTCTGGATGGATTATGTTCTACACGTTAACTTCGAAATATACAAAACATCTGTTTTATCGCCATCTTCTGGTGACTGGGAAGAAATTCAGGAGCAGAGGCTGAACGGGCAGTTAAACCGATGAAACCCTGTTTCAGAAGGAAAGCTATCACAAAATATACAAATGTTTCTGAAAACATAAAATGGTTTTTCAGAGCTCTTGCAGAAACACAAACTAATTAAAGCTACATCGCTCACTGACTGAGCAGGAAGTTGAAAGTCTGCCAGACCAACCAAGAGGCAGAAAACCCTTCCGTTCAGGAAAAGCTTCACTTAACATTTAAAATAAGAAATTATACATGTGGGGCTTACACACAGCAACAGACATAACAAATTTATATTTTAACTTCTGTTGTTTAAAATATCTTTTGAAGCTCAGTGAGTGTAAAATAAATACTTAACATCAGTTCTAAAAGTTATTACATATTTCTTCCTGCAGGAAGGAGGTTTCTCTGAACAGAGTCTAATACAGTCTGTTACAGGGAAGCTCAGTGGACAGAGTGTGTGAGTCCTTCTTATACTCAGCCTACAACAAAGAAGACAGATGCTCAGATAAGGGAAACAGGATACAATTCACATCAGGATACCTGCCCTTTGGTCCCAGGTCACATCTAGTTTAGCAACCAAAAGGCATACAAAGGTTTACGACCATGCAATAAATGGTCTGGGGTCACAACCACACAAATGACTGCATACAATGACATGAAAGCATCAGCTAAAGAACTTAAGGGGTGCTATTATAAAAGTTGCCACCACACTTAAAAAAATTCAAGTTAAGAGTTTTTTTAAATGCAGCACAGATGGTGGCATTTGTCTCCAATTAAAACCCGGTCTCACCATCCTCACCTTGCAGGTGGTAGCAGTCTGTCAAGAGTCCCCATCCCCATGAAATGATCCCACAGGTAACAGTCAGTAAAAACACAAATATACATTTTTACACAGTTTCTTTGTAAAGATTTAACAAAATATCTATTACATGTTAATTATGGAGTCTTAAATATGATGCTAGGTGAATTTTGTCACCCTCTCACAGAGCCAGGTTCGCTGCTTGCCCATGTCCAGTCTTTATGCTACTAAGTGTGACCGGTGGAGTTCTGCATTGTGTTTTATTGGTGCGTGTGTGGTGGATGAAGGACCCATGAGACACCGGGACCACGTTTGGAGGCGCGATCCATTTAATCTGACAAATCATGACCTTACGGGAATTTTAAAGAAAGGAAATGGTGACAGATGATTTGGGAAAATGCTCAACATGACTGGAAAGTACTGAGCTTGCAGTTATTTTAGACAAGTATAACCACCACTATTATGCTTCAATTTGCCTACAACCTGATTAAATGGCATTTTTATTAGAATTGACATTTTTCTCATATTTTCTATTATGCATTTTGTTATGCTTTACTGTATATTCTCAAAGCTGTTGGAAAAAAATGATTGCAAAAAGTATTGTCAGGTGGTCTTGGACAAGATAAAGTGGCCAACACAGGACGAGGATGAAGACAGTGATGTGTCTTTAGAGGATACATGTAGGATCACAGGATTCCTTCCCACATTTTATTGAGAACGGTACATTAATTACTTTAATTGTCCAGTTTATTTAACTGAAGACACTGTGCTTCATCTACTTCCTCTCTAATGAGAGGTCATCATCTTGACTTTCGGGGGGCAGCATCACCAAACCTGCTTGGAAAACTTCTGCAGTTCTGGGTAGGATGGAACGTGCTTCCTAGACAACTGAATGTTGAAGTGGAGCAGAGCAACTTCCCCAGAGCTTCCACCTGTTAAAACTTCCAAGACATAACCAAGAGTACTGTATGTTTGAAAGAGACATTCTTGCTGCTCTGTGGAGCACCAACACTGGGTTTGGATTGGTCTAGAGACTATATGCTAATATAACTCAGTACACACTGATAATGGTGTAATCTAGCCACAGGGGTTGCAAAGCAGCGACTTCTGTGCCGGTCCCAAGCCCAGATAAATACAGAGGGTTGCATCAGGAAGGGCAACTGGCGTAAAAACATGCCAAATTTAAACATGCAAATCATCAGTGTGAATTCCATACCGGATCGGTCGAGGCCCGGGTTAACAACTGCACAGAGACTGTCAGCTTTGATGCCAGTTACATTTAACTAAACACATGTGTGCTACGTACTGAAGGATGATCCACAACACAGGTACTGTCAGCATAGAAAATCCAATCACGTAACGCCTATCACCTTTACATTCATATACAGTGGCTAAACATACCATGCATATAGATAGTCATTTCGTTATTTAGTTAATGCTCCGACGACGACGGAGCGTCTGCCAGCGGTTTAAATAAGGTAGGAATAATCACAGGAATGTGCCTCAGCTGTGTGCTACAACCAACGAGTCACTGATGACTAAATGTAACACAGCTGAG